CAAGCAGGTCAACTATATGAAGAAACATTTCATTTATTAGCTGAAAATCCAAACTTGGTTGTTGTCGTATCCTCTTATAACTCGAATTATATCTTAAGGCAACCATAAATGTATCAACCACGCTTTTCTCAGCATTTCATTTTTTTGGAATATTTCAGCATTTCTGAAATTAATTCAACATATTTTGGCATTTCAACAAGCTAGAGTCCAATGCTTAAAATAAATAAATAAAAATAAATCCAGGTGAATAATGACATCACTAGAAAACACGAGCACATATGTCATTTATACACCTGTGAAATGAAATTTTGCTTAGTTATATAATTGGTATTGTCTACACAAGGCATCTGACACGAGCATGTTCCAGAACCTGGTGAAGGAGAAAATACTGAGGGAAGGGTGGCAAGAAGATGGGAGATGAAATGTGTTGGAGATAGAAATGCAGATCGATTTCATTGAATACTGTATGATACAATCTACCTTGGAATTCATGTTGGAAGTATGTGTTGAAGTACAAAACTATACTAAGAGGGCCACCTCGTGGCAAATGGAAGTATTACCAAAAGCCAGACACATCTGATTTACAGATTAAGGATTTGGTATTTCTGTATGGATCCATGAGTTCAGTGAGAGATGTTGAGTGGCATATATTTTATCAACCTGAGCAGGTTGCAATGCTATGCATTTTTCCTGGGCAGTAAGCTAGTGCATTTACTTCTAAGTAAATACCCATAGGAGGGACGCGGGTGGTGCTGTGGGTTAAATCACAGAGCCTAGGACTTGCCGATCAGAAGGTCGGTGGTTCGAAACCCCGTGATGGGGTGAGCTCCCGTTGCTTGGTCCCTGCTCCTGCCAACCTAGCAGCTCGAAAGCATGTCAAAGTGCAAGTAGATAAATAGGTAGGAAGGTAAACGGCATTTCCGTGTGCTGCTCTGGTTTGCCAGAAGCGGCTTAGTCATGCTGGCCACATGACCGGGAAGCTGTACACCAGCTCCCTCAGCCAATAAAGCAAGATGTGTGCCGCAACCCCAGAGTCGGCCACGACTGGACCTAATGGTCAGGAGTTCCTTTACCTTTACCTTTTAAACACCCATAGACTTGAACAGCGTGACTGCTTTTTATTCTAGTATTTCATTCCCAGTATGTACACTTCTGCACCTATGCCATGATCAGGAAAATTAGATCAATGGATTAAGGCATTGAAAATCCATGTATAATGGAAAACATTTTTTTAATTGCTGCTTTTACAACTCATGCTGGAAATCATTACCAATTTCACTGCAGAAGACCTGGTTAAAACTCATTTTGGGGGCAGTGGTGGTGTGTGCGTGGTGTTGGGATTTTTACCCACACATACCTAATGAATACAATACTTTTTTTAAAAAAAAGTTATTAAAGGTTGCATACAGTCAAATAAAAATATTGTGGCATAGTGAATGGGCAGGTTCACAAGCTTAGTCCCTTTGTTTGTAGGTTTGACTGCATAGTTCCTCCATTCCATCTCCAAAATCACTGCAGACTTCTTTTTGCTGTCAACCACAACTCCATGAGCTCCGTCTTCACACCTGGAGTGAGCTTGTGATAGTCTGTGTTCTAAGGCACAACTTTTGCATGTTACTTGGCAGCTGAATTCAGGACTTGAAAGTAGCTCACTCACCTCAGTAGGGGCTTCCTGCAGATTTCATCTGAGTTTGCCATCATTATCATTTTTAAAAATCATAGTCATTTGTTGATTTCCCAGTTATAGTCAATGTGGAGACCTCCATAATTTTGGAAAATAAACCAAAGTGAGATGCCAGCACTGAAGCAACCTGTTATCCAAAGCACAGAACAGATTCTGAAGCAAATTTTCTGTTAAGGAGGAGCCACATCTTATTCCCATTTTAGAGATAACAAAATGAAAAAATGAAATTGGACACTTGCTAAGGAACTCAAAAGCACTAGCAGCCCAGCAAGCAGATAACCAGGCACCTGTTCAGAAGATACGGGAAACTTATTCCAGGTATCTTCCTCTTGCATTGCAGAGGGCAAAGTACAACTGAATCTGTTATGGCTTTGAATGATTGCAAGCAAGGGCTGTTGCCACAATACTGTGTCTGCACCAAAGTGGACTTGAAAAGGTGGGTCTCGTGAGATTGTGCAGTGTGATCTCATGTTGGTTTTTGCTCTTGACCCCCACCTTCTCTCCCCGTCGCCACCACCAGCAACCCTGCTGGGCATTGGCCAACAACACCAGAACTCGGATCAGCTGTGGAGGAAGGAGCTGTGTCCTCTCATTCTCTTTCATGCGAGCCAGTCCCTTTCCTAGCGGTGGCACCACAATTCAGGAAACCCTTTGTTGTAAAGCCTCTTGATAAGTTGAAAGAAATTCACAGGCGTTCCCTCTCCTCCTAGTTACTTCCGAGTGGTGTAGATACCCCGTTATATGCATGATGAAATACGTGATCTGGAGCACACTCAGTTGCCATAAGAACAACTATTTATCGAGCAGAGATTATGTGAGGAGGGAGAAAAGGTACAGAGGAATAAATTGGTGCACCTACCATTTCTTTCCAATGGGTAATGCAAGTTCAGTTTTGATTACTGCCACAGAGCTGAGAAAATAACTAGCAAACTCGCAATGCTTGAAGTACACCTGAACAATGGTGCAACTGTTTTGCACAAGCCTGCAAAGAATAGCTCTTTTGTTCTTTCGGCATGCCTCCTTTGTAATAGGAGTAATAACTCCCAGAAAAAGATGTATGATTAACTGATCCATGGACTAGAGACTATGATTCCTGAATGTTCTGATGATATATGTTCACGGAACAAGAACATGCTGTCTCTGCTTATTATATTTTGTGGGGAGAAGCTTTGTATGACTTTTACCTTGACTCACCTATAGTGTGTGTGTGTGTATATATATATATATATATATATAATCTCAAAAATAATGAATAAGCTTGAGAACTTCATAAGGAGAGGAAGCAGAGATGGCTCAGTGCTTAGCTCCAAACAAAGACATCTGAACAAGGAAATGAAAGCTGAAGATTTGAGAAATGCATGATGTTCTGTACCCAAGAAAAAATGTAAGAGAGCAAGAAAACATCAAAATGCAACATAACAGTCTGTATTAGTGTAGCATACATTGGCCTTCAAATATTCTAAACTTTTATTGTAAACTTAGCTATATATACAGAACTATAGCTAAAACACACACATGCTGTTGAATTTCACACAATCGTTGCTTTGTGCTTGGACTTCCTGTTTTATCTATTTATCAGGTGGTGATTCATTTTAAAAGGGTTGCACATCATCCCTGATGTCTGGTTCTAATATTTGACTACGCTTATTCCCAAAGTGCTATAGGAAAAGAGAATTAGGCTATACTATTCTTGTGCTGATTTCAAATGCATGAATCCCAATAATGACTAATGGAAAACATTAACCCTGGTATGGTTGGACTGTCAGCACCAACTGTAAAACTGCAGAAATGTGGAGGGCTCCATCTGTTGGTTTTCTGTCTGTCATGCAGCTTTGGAAGCTGGTGTGGGCAAAGTGTGTTCTCCTTCATGGAGAGCACGTGTTGCGGTGGGGGCCGCCAGGACACTCCAAAGTTGGGGGCGGGCTAATTGTTCATTGGCCACTGATGCGATTGGGGCTTCCCTTGTTGTTGGGAAGAAGTTAATGTTGCCATTTGTTGATTGACAGCCAGAAATGCTAAAACTCCTTGCACGAGGCTAGGGCTTCCTCTTTTCGACAGTGCATCGGATTGCCCGTCCCCCCCCCTAGAATTAGGGTTGTTCGCTTTGACCTTGCTATGCCTGTCATGGGGTCGTCTGCTCTTGGGGCAGGGGCCTGGTAGGAATTTTGTCCATCTGGCTGATTGGCTGGGGCCATTTGGTTTTTGCCTACTACGTAGCAAATCGTCACAACTTGTAAGGTTGCGGTTAGGCATTGGTTTATGGTTTGGTTGGTTGAGGGGAAGTGGTTGAGTGCCTGCCCTTGGTAGGCTGAGTGCCTGCCCCTCTAATGCTGCTGCTGCAAGGGATTCCGTTAAAGGAATTGGGGGCTAACTATTGCTTGTCCACTCTGTCAAGGGGGCTCGGGCCATAGCAATGAGCTCCTGGTTGCATTTGGGGTGAGGGCAGGTTCCCTGCTCCGCGTAACCCCCAAGTGTATCCCCCATTCTGACTTTTGCATTGTGCGGAATGTCAGTCTGTCCCCCATGGTGGGGGCAGATAGTCGCAACCAATGCCTAAGCAACCACTCACAAATTTGTATTTCAATAAAGTTGTGGCCAAAATTATGCCAAAAATCAAACAAAAATTCTGTGTGATGTGTGAGTTATTGGGGTGGCCCTGGGGACCTCGACACACAACTTTTTTTCTGTTGAAGGCTGCATTATCTCAGGGGCTGACAGCAGCGGGCAAGGGCGACAGCAGGGCCAAAATCATAAGGAACAGACCACCCAACGTTTTACAGATTAACATGGGGACGCTCTAATAAGATTAACTCTCCCCCCACACATTTCTGCTGTAAAAGAAGTGCTCTAATTCATAGTTACAAATTGGTGAATTTAAACTGGATTTAGTTCTGACTGTTCCAGGGTGGAGAAGGAAGCATAACAGACCATACTCTAATTTTATCAATAGTTTTTTCAACTTCAAAAATGCAGTCAAATTCCATCTATTTATTTATTTAAAAACAACTCTAACCTGAATTTGCATGGAACTGAAATTGACAGAGTTGCCTGTCCCTACACACAGGCCCACCGCTGACTGGGCTGCCAGTGCCCCACACATGTAAGAAAGGGGGAGTTTTGGCTACAACACAACTGATGCGATCCTTTCCCTCTCTCTGCCTCTCATGTGAATGTGGTAACTGTAGGACTGCTTTGCTCCAACACTCTTCTCCCCCCCCCAGACTAAGGGAAAGCAGACCCTTCCCTGCATTAGCCAGACCCTCTATCAGTCAAGAACAGCCATTCATCCCCACCCATTTGCATTGCTGCCCAAACACCTCGTTGCTCTTTCTCCTTGCAGGATCTCCTCAGACTGGATTCAGGGACGTGAGCCATTTGTTCTTGCACAAGCTGAGACCCACTGCACCCCTCCCCATATGCTCACAGTCATTTCAGCTTTGTGTAGGAGTCTGTCTTACTGTCAGGTATCTTGCAAGAAACTTCTATTCTAGTTCTATCTTCCTCCCCAAGAGGATTTCCCCTTAGTCACAGACTCCAGGAAACCCGAGAACACGTGTTACTGATCCTCAGCACCTTTGAACTTCCACTTTCGTTTCCCAATTGCCGACGCGAGCTGCTTCTCGGAGGGAGTAGGCTAGTTTGCTCCCGGGCTTCTAATCTGAGGTAAAACAGAGCTCTGGACACAGGAATTTTTTCCCCCCGAAAGCTGGTAAGATCATGTCATGATGATATTTTCCTGCACATGCAGCTATTAAAATAGAATGGGGACTTGGCTGCTCCATACTGCTTTTGTGATTCAGCAGCTCATTGCTTTGCATGTATGTTTGTGAGAAATTTTCTGAATCTGATCCTTCCGTGAAAGGGAAGATTTCGGGAGGGCACTGAAATTTGCTAACTTTATCTACAAGCGCCGTGTTAATCTCTTGGGTGGAGTCAGAAAGCCTCGGCTGGCATTGTCCCATGCGAAAAGAAAAATATTATTCTTCGCCATCTAGTGGTGCTTCCTGTTTTTTCAACCGTTAGATGGGGGAAAGCTGCTTTATATTTGCAGATCACCACGAAAACCTGATGCTTATTTAATACAGCAAGCTGAAGGCACGCACAGAACAAGCCTCCTCCCCATGCTTACTCAGGCGTGTTCAATGGGGCCTAGCCCCCTAAGTACCACAGCTGCAGTTCACAGACCAGCAGCACAAATCTGTGCAGGTTGAATCAAATGAGGCTCTTATTTTCAAAGCTTGTTCTCCAGCTCCTAGCATGTCTTGGGTGGGGCTGTAGGATTGAAGTCTTAACATTTAGCGGTACTCTCCCCGATGCTTTTCAACATCTTTATGCGCCCCCTCACCCAGCTTGTCCGGAGTTTTGGGCTGGGCTGCCATCAGTATGCCGATGACACCCAACTCTATCTGTTGATGGATGGCTATCCTGACTCGGCCCCAGATACACTGACCAGATGTCTGGAAGCTGTGGCTGGATGGTTACGTGGGAGCTGGTTGAAGTTAAATCCTTCGAAGACAGAGGTCCTCTGGCTGGGACGGGACGATATGGGATTGAGAGGGCAACTCCCATCTCTTGCGGGGGTGCAATTAGTGCCAGTACCGTCCGTTAAGTGTTTGGGTGTAATCTTCGATACCTCCCTCTCTATGGAGGCACAGATTACAGCTATAACAAAGGCGGCATTTTTTCATCTCCGCCAAGCTAAGCAGTTGGCTCCTTATCTCTCTCGCCCTGACCTAGCCACTGTGATCCACGCGACGGTCACCTCCAGACTGGATTATTGTAACTTGCTCTACGTGGGGCTGCCCTTGAGACTGACCCAGAAACTCCAGCGGGTGCAGAATGCCGCGGCGAGACTCCTTATGGGGTCTTCGCTGCGAGATCACATTCATCCGATACTATACCAGCTGCACTGGCTCCCGGTGGAGTACAGGATCAGGTTTAAGGTGCTGGTTTTAACCTTTAAAGCCCTATACGGCCTAGGACCTTCGTACCTACGGGACCGCCTCTCCTGGTATGTCCCACAGAGGAACTTACGGTCTGCAAATAAAAACATCTTGACGGTCCCAGGCCTCAGAGAGGTTAGGCTGGCCTCAACTAGAGCCAGGGCTTTCTCGGCTGCGGCTCCAATCTGGTGGAACGCTCTGTCACAAGAGACTAGGGCCCTGCGGGACCTGACATTTTTCCGCAGGGCCTGAAAGACAGAGCTGTTCCACCAGGCCTTTGGTCAGGGTGCAGCCTGACTCCCTCCTCTGGCAATCTGCACAGAATTTTGCTTAACGGTTGCCATCAATTTGATTTTAATTAATTAGAATGAAATGTTTTTAGAATGTTGGATTATTTGATTGTTGTTAGCCGCCCTGAGCCTGGCTTCGGCTGGGGAGGGCAGGATATAAATAAAATTTATTATTATTATTATTATTGTTATTATTATTATTATTACTACCCTGTGGAGGTTTGAAAGAGAAATGTGGCATATGTGTTTGAAAGCCTTGATTCCAGCATGCTGCTGCTGCCCATCCATTTATGTGGAAGCATGACTTGCTCCATCAAAACTTTATGCTCCCAATTGTTCCTCTGAAATGCTGCCTTTTCTGCTCCACATCTGATGTCATATGGGGCAGGTAGGGATTGCTTTATGAAAATGGTCTCATGTGCAACATGGGAGGCTTAGAGGAACATGTCTGGACAAGACGTTCCCCAGTCCTGGCCTACATTGGCTGGAAGTGGGTTTCTGAATTTCAGACAGGGATATCTCTTAAACATGTCTTGAGATGCTGGAAATTGAACTATGACCTTCTGCCACCTAGCTTTGGCTGTTCCCAATTCCAGAAATATTTATATTCCTACTATATCTCATTTCTTTCAGATTAAAGATGGCCTCATCTCGATTGACCAAAACTGAGGAAAAGGCGCTGCTGGATATTTTGGGATGCCAACATCTAAGCCTTCTCTATAAAGCAAGTTTGCATACCTACAATGTCAATGCATTTCATAACAAATGCGACAATCAGGGCCCAACTGTAGTTGTGGGATACAATGCAAGTGGCTATATCTTTGGAGGCTTTACTGAACAGAGTTATGCTTCCGCTGGGAAATACCTATTTGATAACAATGCTTTCCTGTTTAGATTGAAAGGGAAAGGGCAGGAACCCAGCATACTAAAATTCCCAGTCAAGAATGCTGTTGAGGCTGTCCTTGACAATAGTGCATATGGTCCTACTTTTGGAGCTAACACACTTGTATTCCTGTCAGAAAGCAAGAATAGTGTTACCACAGATGCTAACACTAACAGTTACACACTCAGTGCAGAAGACCTACATGGAAATGACCAAGTCCTTTTGGAATGTGAAGTATATCGAGTTGAAGGTGAGCTGAAACAATCATTTAAAAGTTATTTCATTTTTTGCAACCCGTTGATTTGCCCTCTTGCTAATATCAAATTTTATTTTCTCCTTAGGGCTGAGTAGCATTTTGGAAAAACCATGGCGGGAGATGACATGGACAGCTGAGTAGGTTACTGACTCGAGAAACACTCCCACCCCATTTCCCCCCACCCCACACACCATTTAGGCAAGCCAGTGGCATTGTTTCATTTACAGTGGTACCACGGGTTAAGAACTTAATTCGTTCTGGAGGTCCGTTCTTAACCTGAAACTGTTCTTAACCTGAGGTACCACTTTAGCTAATGGGGCCTCCTGCTGCCGCCCCCACGTAATTTCTGTTTTCATCCTGAGGTAAAGTTCTTAACCCAAGATACTATTTCTGGGTTATCAGAGTCTGTAACCTGAAGCGTCTGTAACCTGAAGTGTCTGTAACCCGAGGTACCAGTGTATTTATTTAAGGCATTTATATACAATTTAATCCATATAATTTCCAAGTGGTTTCAAAGTTACCCCAGTTCAAGGGCACATTATAGCTGGGCTAAAGCACTAGACCAGTGAGGGCCAAGTGAGGGGTGTGGCTTGTGGAGAGTTCTGAGAGGTAAGATGGAGGCCTGGAGGACCACATTTGGCCTCTGTGCCTGAGTTTCCCAACCCCTGCTTCTAACAGGTGTCACTTTCTTATCTTTTCTTCCCTTGGCTAGTCATCTTCTCAGGTACACGGTCTAAACCACTGAGCCTCTTGGGCTTGCTGATCATAAGGTCACTAGTTGGAGTCCGTGTGATGGGTGATCTCCTGTTGCTTTGTCGCAGCTCCTGCCAACTTAGCAGTTTGAAAGCATAACAGCGCGAGCAGATAAATAGATACCGTTGCAGTGAAATGGCATTTCTGTGCACTCTGGCACTCGTCATGGTGTCCTGTGCACCAGAAACTGGCCACGTGACCTGGAAAAAAACTGTCTGTGGACAGATGCTGGCTCTCTTGGCCTTAAAGCTGCTCCCATAGTCAAATTCAGCTGGACTTAACCATCCAGGGGTCCTTTACCTTTACCTTACCATTTCAGGATGACCTCCAGTTGTGGTTTTGGAACACCCCCGCTTCAGTCTAAAAGAAGAGTTATAGGGCAGCCTTATAGTCAGTGTAGAAGGAAATCCTGTTCCATGCATTGCGGATATAATGATTGATATATTATAATGATATAATAATGATTGATTTCAAATTGACTCCATTTTAACATCAAAATAGAATTTATTGATATTGCAAAACCACACCCAATATGAAATGCATTGGCGGTGCATTGGAGTCTACCGTGCTAACCTAAATTCATCTGTGGACTATCAGGGAGCACTGGGGAATAAACAGAAGCATGCACCATGCTATTTGAGGCTACAGCTTTACCTGTCGTGACCTTGGCCTCAGATAATGTCAGATGAAGGGCAGGTGGGTGTAACTTGGACCTAATAGCCTGGCAGGTCAAATGGAGAAGGCTGCCAGGCCCAGTGAGGCCCACAAGTTGCAGCTCCCCACCAGTGGAGATTAGTTTAAAAGCTGATCACTTCATGAAGGGATGTAGAAAGATGTCTGCATTTTCTTATTTTAGGAGAATCAGGCAGGGAAGGAAGATATTGTATGGGGCAGTAGGCTAAAAATGGTGGTAAACAGCAGAAATTAGTCTCCAAAGAGAAATGCTTTTGGATTTAAGCAATTTCTCAACAGCTGTGTCTGAAATGTGGCCAGTTTAGGTCACTAAAAATGTAGGTACTCTGTGCTAAATTTCAGAAGGTTTGTACACATTATCTTCATTTGATTCACAATTAAAACCCTCAGGCTTCAACATCATAGAGTGTTGCTTTGCTTTTCAAATTTAACACTGTATAATCCAGGATATATACACATATGATTAAGCTAATATGGTTAATAGACAGATGTATTTTGCTACCTTGGCAGGAAAAGGGAAGCGCTGATGAAAGAAATAAGAACTTTCAAGCCTTGCTTGAGTGCTGTGCCCCAGTGTCGGGTTCTGCTTGTTGGGCCAGTTGGAGCAGGGAAGTCCAGTTTCTTCAATTCTGTGAATTCAACTTTCCGAGGCTACGTGTCAAGTCAAGCTGCAGCAGGATCTGATTCCACAAGTCTGACAAAGCAGGTAGCTCTGCACTGCTAAAGCAAAAGTTAAGGACGGGCCTCCAGAACGTATTAAGTTCGTAACCCGAGGTATCGCTGTATTTCCAAACATGTTGGCCAATAACTAATGGCAACATAAGATTCAATATATACTTCAACTAGGGTTCCTAGACCACAACTCCCATCAGCCCTTGCTAGGAGACCATTTGAAAACCATAAATCACAAAACACCTTGTCCTCCCCCTTCCTTTCCCAGCTGTTGTAAGGATTTTCAAGCTGCAAAGAAAACATTCAGAAGCCCAGTCCTTTTGGCAGCTGACTGATTGTAGCCCATAAGCATATGTCGGCTCAGAAGTGCCTCTTGATTAATGCCAATTGTCCAAATTATAGAGGAACCAAATAACACTGGAGATAGGGGCTCGTCCACGGCAGGGACACACATCCAGATACAGGCTTGCTTGGCACAGCAGGATGCAGTGAGCTCCCCAGATCCCACTGGGGAACATTGCCAGGATATTTTGCAACATAAATCCTGGCTTTCCTCTGCCTGAACCTCCTTGCTGCCCTCGTGACGTGACCGGAAACCCATACTTAACTTGCCTTTCTGACCTGTTTCTTGTGTAATGGAACTTCTGTGGTTTTGTACAGAGCCACAAAAATTACAGTAGATATTATATATACTAGTAAGTGAAATACGGTAGATAGTATATATACTAGTAGGTGAAATTTGTCATTTACATATGTAAAACAGAAAGGAAAGCAGATAGGAATAGATTTCAATATGGTGTTATTTGCATTTTTTAAAAAATAGTATAGGACTTACCATCTTAAAAGCGGAAGTGGTAGAACCCCACTCCCAGTCATCTTCTGTGATACCATGGGACTTGAAGCTCAACCCAATGCTGGTCTGGACATTGAGGACGTGCGCAGCATATTGGAGGGCCATATTCCTGATCGGTACTCGGTAAGATGCATCCTCTATTGTTCATTTTAGATGGAGAGATTATCATTTAGGAACCTCTGCTTTTCATTTCTAATTTACTTATATAATGCAAACATCACACTTCCTGTGGTCCACCATTATAACCCCAGCAAGCGCAGTTTTATTTTCCCAAGTGGTTTGCCAGGCTAAGGATTGATTTGCATCCACGAATCAATGACATGTTTTGGAAACACAGTTGCTAGAAGACTGGTCCTTGGGGAAAGCTGATCATGTGATTTGGCTCACCTTGGAGCCATGGTAGTTTCAGCCCATGCCATCAAAACTCATCTTCTGAGTAAAAAAAATATTGAAACCATTTGGGAAATATCTCACAGATCAGCTTATCATGCTGAGCAGCCTGAACATGGTTGGGTTTTTAGTTTCCCCTCAATTGATTGGATGTGCATGTTAGACCTCTCCCTTTGGGAAAACCCAAATAGCCATTTGCTCTCTTTGACCACCAAAGAGCAGTCCCCCTCCCCCACGGGGGAGAGGGGTACGGGGAATCAGTGGAATAAGAGGAAATGTGGAAAAGCCCTTGGAGGAGAATTTGGGAAATTGCTTGTTGTAATGGTATCCTCAGTACTAGATTGAGAATACCAGAGTATTAATTCAGGTACTACACCCTCACCACACTGGGTAAAAATGCTTTTCAAAATGGGGTGGCAACTGACTACATGTCATTTTCGGTGTACTTGTATGCACAAATGGTCACTTTACATATCAAAGATGGCTGCTCCATGAGCACTACATGGGGGCTGTCATCTTTTTGTATGTAGGTTCATCCACTGCTATGTCTCTCACACAACCCTATAGGAATTTGATTCCATTGCAGCTATCCTATATTTTTTCTTCTATTACCCTTTCCCTTTTCAGTTCAATCCATCCTGTGTTATGAACCCCAATATGCCAAACTATATCAAGTGCCCTTCTCCAAAAGACCGGATTCATTGTGTTGCGTTCATTATTGATGGGTCCAAGGTTGAGATCCTCCCTGAGAAGCTGGAAGAAAAACTGAAAGACATCCGTCGAAAAGCGAACAGTTTTGGTCAGTCTTTTTAATTTATTTTACATTTATGTTTTGATCAACCTCAATGTAGTTGCTATCTTATTTCATATTTTTAAAAAAGGCTTCAAATAGTTCTTTGCTCATTGCTAAAAAAACCCAACAATAATAATTGTGGTGGCTATTCCCAATTCAAAAGGAAAAAACAAACATATATTATAAGTTATTTTTATAAGTTAATCTTCTTACAGGTGTTCCACAGCTTGTTATTCTAACTAAAGTGGATCAGATTTGTCCTATTGTTGAAGAAGATATATCATACGTATACCAAAGCATGGCTGTTCAGAAGCAGGTAAACTGTTAAATTAAAAGGTATCTGTAAAGCTAGTCAGGCTTTTCTTTAATATTTTAATCTTTCTGTTACTTTTTATTTCCTTGTTGTGTTTTGCTTCTGCTCTTACTTCTTGGGTTTTTTTATATCCTCTACTCTGGGCTAATGAGAATATACACTTGAAGGTAATGGGTGGCTGATAAATGTCCCTGGACTCAGCTACACAGATGCCAATAAAACATTTTAAAAGGTTTGCGAAATGCAATATACCAAAGTGACACTAGCTGGCGACAGTGCGGTGTATTTTTCAAAACATTTTTTTAAAAAGCATTCTCACAGCATTTTTAAATATGTGTGCAGACTCCTCCCCTGTGTGAGAGGCAGGGAAGGGAAGAGGTCCCAGGCTGAGAGGCTGGGAAGGTCCATCCCTTTCTGTGTGAGACAAGGTTTAAGAGCTACCTTTGAAGGACGACTTTGCATTTGTCTTTGTCTTTCTGTTTAGATTAGTTTGTTTTTTATTGCATTGTATTATGAAAAACTGTCATAACATCTTTGCGCTCTAGATGTGCAAAGCAGGGCTGTTGAGGTTTGTTATTTGGAGAGCGTGTGGCCTGAGGAAAATCCTGAGGGTCAAAGAGAGGCTCACCCTGGTCTAGGGCATTAAAGGTCATAGGGCATTAAACCAACACTTTTAAGTTGGACCTGGAAATGGACTGGACCTTGTTTCTTGTAAGTGGCCCTGAATTTTTTTGGTTTGGGTTCAGTGTACGGATATGGGGCATAAAAATGTAATTAATACAGCCAGCAGTGGCCTTGTGTCAACTGGCGGGACCAAAGGGGCATAAAAATAGTGTTCCCTTGGTAACAAATCACATTTTATTTCCTTTACAGATGCGGCTAATGGAAGCAAAACTTGGCATCCCTCTGTCTCATATAGTTCCTGTTAAAAATTATTCCTCGGAGCTGGAACTGAGGAATGATGTTGATATCCTGATACTCATGGCAGTGAGGCAGATGCTTCGTTTAGCTGAAGACTACCTCGACGACTGTGATGACGAACCTCCGGTCAATCGTTCCATTAAGGATTGTTATGCTGAGCCGTGATATATTTACTGAAGCCATTAGAATTCTAGTTTATGCTTTAGATTTTTAATAAAAGTGACCAAGTTTATTCTCCATTTAGGGAGATGCCATTCCAGATTTGAAACATTCTTACATACTAATCTCAGTATCTTGCTGCTGCTTCTGCTGTATGTATGTGGCTAATGGACATGTTAACTGTAGAGCTGCAAGGCTTTTATGTTCTTTAGGCCTCCAACATCCTTTCCAAACCTAAAATTCTGTTTCTATTATAAGACAATAATTAAGACAATAATACTATATAGGTAGCTCGCACGAAGTCCATTACACTGCGACTCCAGGCTACAAACCAGATTGGTGTGTGCACTAGAGATGTGATCTGAAGGGAAAGAGAAATAAAAAATACCAGCTGCCAGGAAAACCAGTTTTGCTATGAGCAAGCGCAAGAGGGTAACTAAGCCATTAACCAGAGGCCTTGGAAAAGTTGAGAAAGTGGTGCAACCTCAAGTTATAGACGTGATACTAGGGAGGGGGGCTTATATACAGGGGTTGATGATTCTCACGTGATATGCCAGATCAATAAATTACGAGGTATAAAATGGACTTCCATGTTGATGAGAAATATTTTAGGTGTTTTGTATCTTTTTAATGTCACTGCTTCCTTAAAACAAATAAATAAATGCATGTGAAACTCAGTGTATGAATGAATTCTGAAGTTACCAGCTGCAAAATATGCCACCCCTGGTCCCTGAAGTCCTTACTAAACTTGGAGGATCGTGAAAAAGGGGGAAAGGAAGAAGGGAAAGGAAGGGTAGACAGTTAACCTGTTGCTGTAAATCGCAGGAAAAGAACTATCCCCGTAAGAGCACATAGTGCTGCTGTGGATAGATTTTTCTGAAATTGTTGCTCATATTGGGGGCATGCTAATAATTGCTTGGCTAATAATCTCAGCAGGACGCGGGTGGTGCTGTGGGTTAAACCACAGAGCCTAGGACTTGCCGATCAGAAGGTTGGCGGTTCGAATCCCCCCGACAGGGTGAGCTCCCGTTGCTCAGTCCCTGCTCCTGCCAACCTAGCAGTTTGAAAGCACGTCAAAGTGCAAGTAGATAAATAGGTACCGCTCCAGCGGGAAGGTAAACGGCATTTCCGTGTGCTGCTCTGGTTTGCCAGAAGCGGCTTAGTCATGCTGGCCACATGACCCGAAAGCTGTACGCTGGCTCCCTCGGCCAATAAAGCGAGATGAGCGCCGCAACCCCAGAGTCGGCCAAGACTGGACCTAATGGTCAGGGGTCCCTTTACCTTTAATAATCTCAGCAATGCAGCAGTTCAAGTTCAATAACCTTTGTGTCTCAGAACTGTAGGGATGTTTAGGACTGAATTGCTGCCTTCATGTGCATGTCAGTACGCCTTTCAACCGATGTTAGCGACTGGGATCAATAACTGGTTCTGCCCCGACTGGGCTAGGCACCTGGAGCACTTTCAGAGACCTTCCAATCCTGGAAAGCAGGTCTCAGTGCACTGGACTCACAACTGTGCATTGTGAGCACCAGACTCAGCAGAGTATAAATAACGCGGAAGCTAGCTGTGAAGCATAACTTCTTTAATTTCTAATAGCTACTACAAACTAATGAATTGGCTTGCGTGAGTGTTACATCTCCCACTCAGCCATCTAGTCACTACATAGATAAGACTCTCTCCACACACAGAGTCAGGCGGTCAGTCAGGAGCGGAAGAGTAGAAGAGCAGTTTCCTCCCCCTCCTTTCTCAAAACATCAGATCAGAGATTCTTGCAATGGGAGGGGTGAAAATATCAACAGTGCATTCACATCTGCTACTTAAAGGAACTCGTTTGGGGTACATGTTCCAGAGATGCCACCGTAGTCTTGGCTGGGCACAGGAATCTGGCTGGCATAACCCATGGTCAAAGCAATTATTTAATGCTTTTTCCCCTAATAGCGTTTGTAGTGTTTTCTATCATGGTTGCTTGTTGGGAGCTTCTCTATCTTTTTAAGCTGTTCAATGAGGAAATGGTATTTCATCCTTTTGGATGTTTACCATTAGCATCTGTTGGCATGTTCACAGTAGCAAAACCAAGTCACACTGAGAGAAAACGTGTGAAGTTATAAAGACCTGCGCAGTTTGGGACCTAGATATATTTCCTCATATCAGCCAGCTCAAGTTCTCAGATTGCCCGAGGGGGCCACAGTAGGAATTGTTGCCAACGCATCAGAAGGAATGCATTTTCTCTATAATGGGTGAGGCGGTATTTCCTGAACAACAATTTACCCTGCTGAAATACCTGGTGTTAGTCAAATGTAACATACAGTGGTACCTTGGTTCTCAAACTTGATGTGTTCTGGGAGTTTGTTCGACTCCCAAAACTGCACAAAAACCAAGGCATGGCTTCGGATTGGCTGCAGGAGCTTCCTGCGCTCAAGCAGAAACTTTCAGACGTTCAGCTTCTGAAAAACATTTGCAAACCAGAAGACTTCCAGGTCTGCAGCTTCCGGGAGCCAAGTGGCTTGAGAACCAAGGTACCACTGTAATTTGATCATACCTTAGGAGGAAAACAGACCTGAAATCTGATCAAAAATATTTCTGAAAACATTATTTTTATATGTGTGATTTCGTCTGTTATAAAATGTTCATTTCAATTAGACGTGAATTCTGTTATTAGTATTTGTCTGGCTTCAGGGTTTTGTTTTTAAATGTTGACCAGGTTTGCCCTCTAGTGGAGAACAATACAGACAATTTAAGAAAGATAAGGCACTCTTCTGAATCATATTGAATTTAGTGGCTTGATGCTGAAATAATGAGATAGTCTTGTGGAAGAGAAGGGATTTCCTACAGCCCTTTGCTATGTGTAGTCTTCAGCTCCTGAGAGTTTAGCCTGTGCCCTGTGTCTTACTGCAGGAAGTGTTTTTATTCTTTAATCCTAGCGAGAACACAATTCCAGCTGTGACTTTGTGACTCTGGATGTGGGTGGCGCTGTGGTCTAAACCACTGAACCTCTTGGGCTTGCCGATCGGAATATTGGCAGTTCGAATCTGTGCAACGAAGTGAGCTCCCATTGCTCTGCCCCAGCTCCTGCCAACCTAGCATTGGGAAGGCACACCAGTGCAAGTAGATAAATAGGTACCGCTGCAAAAGGAAGTTAAACGAGGTTTCCGTGTGCTCTGTCTCTGAAAGCAAGACCCCCATAGACGTAACCATCCAGGGGTGTGCTCTGTCTCTGAAAGCAAGATGAGCGCCACACCCCCATAGTTGCACCCCCATAGACTTAACCATCCAGGGGTCCTTTACCTTTTACTTTTTTATTTTTTGACTACATTAATGAGCAGTGCTATTTTTATAGAAAAAGAGGTGCTGGAACTCACCATGAACAACTCCCTTGTTCTCTTAAAATGGCAATGGAGCCCACCTGGGAGGTGCCAGAACTGAGTTCTGTTTAAAAAAAAAAAAGAAGCCCTGGTAACGAAGAGAAGTAAGTCACTCCGGCCTGTTGTAAGTAAGGTTTGAGGATATATGGTACACATCTATTTGCTCATTGGGATGAATGACTCCTTCATTCCCAAAAGGAACACTAATGCAAGACTGGCCTGGTTGCAGTCAGGCCAGAAATCAAACACCTGCAGGGAGCTTGTTACTATTGCACAGAAGACTAGTTTCTACGTTCCACCCCCATCCTAAATCGAGGCAAGCAAGAGACATTATTAGGGTTCAGAGACAAATGTCACTCTTCCCACTCGCATTCACACACACCAGCCTCATTTTCCGGTACTGGTACTACAAGCATTGCAACCTCTAGGCCTTTTTCAGCAGTAAGTAAGGTTTGAGGATATATGGTATACATCCATTTGTTGCGTGTTCAGACCCAGAGACCTCACCCCTAAATAAAAACATATTTGACTCAAATTTTAGTTTGGGTTTTTGGCAGAATTTAGGCCACAACTTTATTGATTACAGAAAGTGAGTGGTTGCACAGGCTCTGGTTCGAATAACTCCCTGCACCCTTGCAGGTAGTGCTGAGCCAGAGCTCTATCAAGGGTGAACATCTGAGGTAGGCGGAAAGCCCGGGAACGGACTATGTCCACTCCCCAGATGCCCTCCTGGACTCAGGCACGGGCACAACTCCCTCTCAGGGGTTGACCAAACCAAGTTGAGTCCCTGGATTACTTTAACAGAATATCCTTTACATAGGGATGGCAAGACTGTTCCCCCACCCCTATCACCTGAACCAGTGCCTATCCACAACCTTACAAGTTCGCCTACGTGGCAGGTGAAACCCAAGTGGCAACAGCCAATCAGTCAAGTGGGGAAAATTCCTGCCATACCTCTGTCCCAACGACAGACGACACATAATGGCATAGCAAGGTCAATCGCAAAATGCCCTAAATATAGGGAGAGGTGGGCGGGTGCTCCGATGCACAAGCCGAAAGAGGAAGCTCTGGGTCACATGCATAGGTATTTATAGGTCCCTCAATCCATTTAGACAGTACCCTATTGGCCAGATTAAACCCAGCAACGAGGGACCTACCAGTTGGGTGTTATGACTGACCAATGTACCTACCCACAACCAGAGGGCCAGTCTCCAGGTCTCACCACAACACGTGCCCTCTTTGAGGGAGGACATGCTCTCTTGCACAAGGTAAAGGAAAGCAGACTCTTCCCTGCATTAGCCAGGTCCTCTATCAGCCAAGAGCAGCCATTCATCCCCACCCATTTGCAGGATCTCTGCAGCCTGGATTCAGGGACTTGAGCCATTTGCTCTTGCACAAGCTGAGACCCACTGCACCCCTCCCCATATGCTCACAGTCATTTCAGCTTTATGTAGGATTCTGTCTTACTGTCAGGTATCTTGCAAGAAATTTCTATTCTAGTTCTACCTTCCTTCCTAAGAGCATTTCCCCCTACATAGTCACGGATTCCAGGAAACCCGAGAACACGTGTTTCTGCTTCCTGAGCACCTCTGCACTTTCACTTTCGTTTCTCCCTTGCAGACACGAGCTGCTTCTCAGAGGGAGGAGGCTTGTTTGCAGACGCTCCCGGGCTTCCAATCTGAGGTAAAACAGAGCTCTGGACACAGGAAATACACCAAAGCTGGTAAGATCATGTCATGATGATATTTTCCTGCCACATGCAGCTATTAAAATAGAATGGGGACTTTTTAACAGTTGCTTGGCTGCTCCATACTGTTTTTGGAGATTTAGCAGCTCAGCTTAACAATTGCTTTGCATGTATGTTTGTGAGAGATTTTCTGAATCTGGTCCTTCAGTGAAAGGGAAGCTTTTGGGAAGGCACCGAAATTTGCTAACTTTATCTACAAGCACCGTGTTAATCTCTTGGGTGGAGTCAGAAAGCCTCGGCTGGTATTGTCCATGTGAAAAGAAAAATATTATTCTTCACCATCTAGTGGTGCTTCCTGTTTTTTCAATTGTTAGATGGGGGAAAGCTGCTTTATATTTGCAGATCACCACGAAACCTGATGCTTATTTAATACAGCAAGCTGAAGGCATGCACAGAACAAGCCTCCTCCCCATGCTTACTCAGGCATGTTCAATGGGGCCTAGCCCCCTAAGTACCACAGCTGCAGTTCACAGACCAGCAGCACAAATCTGTGCAGGTTGAATCAAATGAGGCTGTTATTGTCAAAGCTTGTTCCCCAGCTCCTAGCATGTCTTGGGTGGGGCTGTAGGACTGAAGTTTTAACATTTACCCTGTGGAGGTTTGAAGAGAAATGTGGCATATGTGTTTGAAAGAGCCTCTCCTCCTCCTCCCGGAGGGGAGGAGTTGTGATCGGGAGTTGTTTCTGCGCTTTGCATTGGGCATTCCGGCCCCTGCTTGCCATCACTGCTGCCGCCCTGTGCTCCCAGGCAGCCTACCAATCAAGGGGAGTCTTGGGGGTGGAGTTTAGCCGCTCAAATGCAGCCGCAGCAGCTCCTGCCCCTCATTGCGCTGCCGTGTTTCAACGGATCACACACCCACCCTTCCCTTTAGTTCATCACTTCGTGCTTGACCTTGCTATGGACCTGTGGTTGGTCACCTTGGTTGCCCAAGGGGCCTGGTAGGATTTTTTTTTTAAATGATATTTATTAAGCATTTTAAAATTACAGAAAAAACAAAAAGACAAAGAAGAAAAAAAACAAGGGAAAAACAAACAGCAATCAAACAATACAAATCGATAAAAATCAAAATCAAAAAGCAAAACCAAAACACATAACACATCAAAATCAAAAAACAAAAGTAAACCACAAAAATTTAAAAACAAATCCAATATTCTCAAATCCTTAACTGTCATTACCTTATTTCATCAACCTCCTCACACCTCCCTTTTTTGTATTCTAGTTATTAATTATCACAGCAAATCCTTCCCATTTTTCATAATATTCCATCATTGAATTACCTTAATCTATTTTAACCTTGTCTTACTATAAAAAACCCTAAAACTTAAAACTTAAATCTTATTTATACCAATTTCTCATAACCATAACATATTCTTGCATAGTTCTTTTTAACATTTCTGCTAAAGCCAAATAATTTCATTCCAACATTTTTCTAATACTCATTAATTTTACAAAACCATCCTAAATAGATTTTTTTTTAAAACTTTCTTCCAATCTTCATCCAACGTCTCTTCCTCCTGGTCCCGGGTTTTGTCAGTCCTTTCTATCCCATCCATCTAGTTCATTAACCTGGTAATCTTATGTCCGAGGCCCTTAAGTCTCTACCATGTCCCTTCCGCAGATCTTCTTCATATTTATACCTGTACTTTACTTTGTCTCCTGGTCCTTTCACTCGTGGAAACTCCAACTTGACAGTATTTTTGTCCCTTCTCGACAGATCAGCCCCTTTTCCATAGTCCACACTGAACTCCATATGGTATTTAAAAGCATGTTTCAAGGTCCCTCCAGAGTTGAGGACCCCCACAACCCCAAACTCCTCACGGCCCATTGCCAGACTTGAAAAGTCAAGACATCCCTGCATAGGGGGGTCTATCCAGCCCCCTATCTCCAAGCCAAACAAAACTCTATCTCTCCAAATCTGGCTTTTTCCAAGTTCATTTGTCAGATCCAAAAACTCATGTTCCTGCTGGGCCACAGCTCCCTCCATCTCTGCCACCCGAGGTCCAACAACAACCTCCTCCCTCATCTGAACTGTCAGAGCACACTCCTGAGTTGATTCCTCTATATGGGTGGGCTCTATATAGATACCCACTACCTGTCCAAAATTTCTAATCGCAACAGTCATCAAATCCGTCTTCTCATGTAACTGTTCCAATAAAGCACTTGTCTTGCAGAAAGCACGCACCAGAGCCTCTGAATACATTGTTATGCAAGGTCAGAAGTCTGTTCCCACGATCTTAATCTGTTTGCAGCTGCGAAGCTCCCAAGTTCAAATTTAATAACAGTTTCACAAGCTCCCTCTAGGGGAAGAACTTCTATTTGTATCAATCTCTTTTCTTTTTTTTTTAACAGCAGATCTAACAACAAAGTTTCCTTTTTCAGATATTTTGTCAATATTTGTTCCTTTAAAATGCGAAAGAGAACAATGGAATCACTATGTTTCTCTTCTTTTAACTGTCTGCCAAAAACATTTGTCTATAGCCAATGAACTTCCCAAAAACGTCTGTCCTGACACCCCGCTCCCAAGTTCAAGACGGTGGAAAAATTACTTTTCTTTACACTCTCTTCTGCAGGTTTAAACAGTCCGGAAAAAATCCCCCCTCTTCTCCTGCTTCCGAAGGGGGTTCAGTAGTTTTAGATGATGAAAGTTGATCCTTTAGAAATGATTTTCTAAACTCTAGTTTGCCATGTCTTTGCTTTAATCTATCTACAAGAAACGGAAGCCTGACTTCCTGTTTAGACCTTCCCGCTTCAGTGCCAAATTAAGAGGAATTTCTTAATCCAATTTCCCATTCTACTCACAGATCGTTGTTTAAAGTCCAATTGTCCAAATTTGATCTGCTCACGGGTAATTGTTTTTGTAGCCAAATTGTCCCAGGAAAAAGGTAGCGCTCTCCGGCAACGGCTGTGCGGCTTCGCTCCACGGAAGAAGCAGTTGACTCTCAGCACCGCGCCACTTGCCCCTCTTCGCTCCGGAGCCTGTAATTGGGTTCCTTTACGAATTGGGGGCGCGCGAAAGGTGCCCGCCGAGTCCCATGGTCACAGGCTTCATCCGCCTGTGATTTTTTAAAGGGTCCCCGCTTCGCCGTAGCGGAACAGACCCATTTTCCGTGGAGCCAGTCCCTCCGGATCAGAGGGAATCCGCCATTACCGATGGCGCTACCCTGGGCCTGGTAGGAATTTTTATCCAACTGGCAAATTGGAACCAGCCACTTGGTTTTTCGCCTACCTTGTAGCAAATCGTCACAGTCCTGGCCTACATTGGCTGGAAGTGGGTTTCTGAATTTCAGACAGGGATATCGCCTAAACCTGTCTTGAGATGCTATAAATTGAACTTGGGACCTTCTGCTACCTAGGTTTGGCTGTTCCTAATTCCAGAAATATTTATATTCCTACTATATCTCATTTCTTTCAGATTAAAGATGGCCCAATCTCGATTGACCAAAACTGAGAGAAAGGCGCTGCTGGATATTTTGGGATGCCAACATCTAAGCCTTCTCTATAAAGCAAGTTTGCATACCTACAATGTCAATGCATTTCATTACAAATGCAACAGTCAGGGCCCAACTGTAGTTGTGGGATACAATGCAAGTGGCTATATCTTTGGAGGCTTTACTGAACAGAGTTATGCTTCAGCTGGGAGATACCTATTTGATAACAATGCTTTCCTGTTTAGATTGAAAGGGAAAGGGCAGGAACCCAGCATACTAAAATTCCCAGTCAAGAATGCTGTTGAGGCTGTCCTTGACAATAGTGCATATGGTCCTACTTTTGGAGCTAACACACTTGTATTCCTGTCAGAAAGCAAGAATAGTGTTACCACAGATGCTAACACTAACAGTTACACACTCAGTGCAGAAGACCTACATGGAAATGACCAAGTCCTTTTGGAATGTGAAGTATATCGAGTTGAAGGTGAGATGAAACAATAATTTAAAAGTTATTTCATTTTTTGCAACCCGTTGATTTGCCCTCTTGCTAATATCAAATTTTATTTTCTCCTTAGGGCTGAGTAGCATTTTGGAAAAACCATGGCGGGAGATGACATGGACAGCTAAGTAGGTTACTGACTTGAGAAACACTCCCACCCCATTTCCCCCCACCCCACACAACATTTAGGCAAGCCAGTGGCATTGTTTCATTTATTTATTTATTTAAGGCATTTATATACAATTTAATCCATATAATTTTCAAGTGGTTTCAAAGTTACCGCAGTTCAAGAGCACATTACAGCTGGGCTAAAGCACTTAACCAGTGAGGGCCAAGTGAGGGGTGTGGCTTGTGGAGAGTTCTGAGAGGTAAGATGGAGGACCACATTTGGCCTCTGTGCCTGAGTTTCCCAACCCCTGCTTCTAACAGGTGTCACTTTCTTATATTTCCTTCCCTTGGCTAGCCATCATCTCAGGCACACCGTTACACTAAGCCTCATGATCTTGCTGATCGTAAGGTCAGCAGTTCGAATCCGTGCGATGGGGTGATCTCCTGTTGCTTTGTCCTAGCTCCTGCCAACCTAGCAGTTTGAAAGCAAAACAGCGCGAGCAGATAAATAGATACCGTTGCAGTGGGAAGCTAAATGGCGTTTTTGTGCACTCTGGCACTCATCATGGTGTCCTGTGCACCAGAAACATGCCGCTTGACCTGGAAAAAACCTGTCTGTGGACAGATGCCGGCTCCCTTGGCCTGAAAGCAGAGATGAGTGCTGCACCCCATAGTCGAATTCAGCTGGAATTAACCATCCAGGGGTCCTTGACCTTTACCTTACCATCTCAGGATGACCTCCAGTTGTGGTTTTGGAACACCCCCCCTTCAGTCCAAAAGAAGAGTTATAGGGCAGCCTTATAGTCAGTGCAGAAGGAAATCCTGTTCCATTCATTGAACAGCATCCTTAACCCTTGCACATCGTTTATTTTAATGGTATCACTATGCTGCTGGGGTCCGACAGGCCCCTTTCAAAACTCTGTGCTAGAAATAAAATTAATGATTGATTTCAAAGTGACTCCATTTTAACATCAAAATAGAATTTATTGATATTGCAAAACAACGACCCAATATGAAGTGCATTGGAGTCTATCGTGTTAACCTAAATTCATCTGTGGACTATCAGGGAGCACTGGGGAATAAACAGAAGCATGCACCATGCTATTTGAGGCTACAGCTTTACCTGTCGTGACCTTGGCCTCAGATAGTGTCAGATGATGGGAAGTTGGGTGTAACTTGGACCTAATAGCCTGGCAGGTCAAATGGAGAAGGCTGCCAGTGAGGCCCACAAGTTGCAGCTCCCCACCAGTGGAGATTAGTTTAAAAGCTGATCACTTCATGAAGGGATGTAGAAAGATGTTTGCATTTTCTTATTTTAGGAGAATCAGGCAGGGAAGGAAGATATTGTATGGGGCAGTAGGCTAAAAATGGTGGTAAACAGCAGAAATTAGTCTCCAAAGAGAAATGCTTTTGGAGGTGGCATTTAAGCAATTTCTCAACAGCTGTGTCTGAAATGTGTTCAGTTCACCAGGTCACTAAACATGTAGGTACTCTGTGCTAAATTTCAGAAGGTTTGTACAAATTATCTTCATTTGATTCACAATTAAACCCTCAGGCTTCAACATAATAGTGTTGCTTTGCTTTTGAACTTCAACACTGTATAACCAGCATATATGTACATATGATTAAGCTAATATGGTTAATAGAAGGATGTATTTTGCTACCTTGGTAGGAAAAGGGAAGCGCTGATGAAAGAAATAAGAACTTACAAACCTTGCTTGGGTGCTGTGCCCCAGTGTCGGGTTCTGCTTGTTGGGCCAGTTGGAGCAGGGAAGTCCAGTTTCTTCAATTCTGTGAATTCAACTTTCCGAGGCTACGTGTCAAGTCAAGCTGCAGCAGGATCCGATTCCACAAGTCTGACAAAGCAGGTAGCTCTGCACTGCTAAAGCAAAAGTTAAAATGCATTCAGTATTTTTCAACCAATATTTCAAATGCATGTATTGTTTCAAAATATATTGTTTATCCTAGCTATAACGAATGTCCATTTTGAAAAGAGAATTCATGCCTCACAAGCCTTTTAAATCTGCAGCCCTGTAGATAAGGCTTATTGAGTGGAAATAACTGCATTCATGCAATTGTGGCTGCATTTTGAAACAAACCATGTGTCATTAGAGGTAACTGCTGTGACGGTAAAATTTGTAGGTGATACATTATTCAGAGGTGATATCCTAAGCTGGCAGTGAAGAGCTCCAAAAAGGATACAGTGGTACCTCAGGTTACAAACACCTTGGATTACAAACACTTTGCGTTACAAAGTCCACTAACCCGGAAGTAGTACCTCAGGTTACAAACTTTACCTCAGGATGAGAACGGAAATTGCGCGGAAGCAGCGGGAAGCCCCATTAGCGAAAGCACACCTCAGGTTAAGAACGGTTTCGTTTCCACTGGGAACAATGTTCCACTGGGAACATTGCTAGTATTTTTGCCACATAAATCCTGGCTTTCCTCTGCCTGAACCTCCTCGCTGCCCACGGAGGGCAGCGAGGAGCTACCACCATTGACTCGTGACGTGACCTGAAACCCATACTTAACTTGCCTTTCGTAACCTGTTTTTGTGTAATGGAGTTTGTAGTTTTATACAGAGCCACAAAAATTACAGTAGATTAGTATATATACTAGTAGGTGAAATTTGTCATTTACATATGTAAAACAGAAAGGAAAGCAGATAGGAATAGATTTCAATATGGTGTTATTTGCATTTTTTAAAAAATAGTATAGGACTTACCATCTTAAAAGCGGAAGCGATAGAGCCCCACTCCCAATCATTTTCTGTGATACCATGGGACTTGAAGCTCAACCCAACACTGGTCTGGACATTGAGGACGTGCGCAGCATATTGGAGGGCCATATTCCTGATCGGTACTCGGTAAGATGCATCCTCTATTGTTCATTTTAGATGGAGAGATTATCATTTAGGAACCTCTGCTTTTCATTTCTAATTTACTTATATAATGCCAACATCACACTTCCTGTGGTCTGCCATTATCACCACAGCAAGGGCAGTTTTATTTTCCCAAGTGGTTTGCCAGGCTAAGGACTGATTTACATCCACAAATCCATGACATGGCTTGGAAACACAGTTGCTAGAAGACTGGTCCTTGGGGAAAGCTGATCATGTGATTTGGCTCACCTTGGAGCCATGGTAGTTTCAGCCCATGCCATCAAAACTCATCTTCTGAGTAAAAAAAATATTGAAACCATTTGGGAAATATCTCACAGATCAGCTTATCATGCTGAGCGGCCTGAACAAGGTTGAGTTTTGGGAAATTGATTGTTGTAATGGTATCCTCAGTACTAGATTGAGAATACCAGAGTACTAATTCAGGTACTACACCCTCACCACACTGGGTAAAAATGCTTTTCAAAATGGGGCGGCAACTGACTACATGTCATTTTCGGTATGCACAAATGGTCACTTTACATATCAAAGATGGCTGCTCCATGAGCACTACGTGGGGGCTGTCATCTTTTTGTATGTAGGTTCATCCATCCCTATGTCTCTCACACAACCATATAGGAATCTGATTCCATTGCAGCTATCCTATATTTTTTCTTCTATTACCCTTTCCCTTTTCAGTTCAATCCATCCTGTGTTATGAGCCCCAATATGCCAAACTATATCAAGTGCCCCTCTCCAAAAGACCGGATTCATTGTGTTGCATTCATTATTGATGGGTCCAAGGTTGAGATCCTTCCTGAGAAGCTGGAAGAAAAACTGAAAGACATCCGTCGAAAAGCGAACAGTTCTGGTCAGTCTTTTACATTTATTTTACATTTATGTTTTGATCAACCTCAATACCAATGTTTCATTGCCCGTGCAGGCTGATTGCTCAAATGGTCCCTCAGCTATGTAGGAAACACTGACCATTGATTGTGAGTTGATGAACTTCTTATCTTGGTTTCCTGAGAAGTATTTAACACTTCTCTTCAAAGCTCACACCTTCTCAAAGATAAATGATTAGAGCTTTTTTATGGAGCAATGAGAAGCAGACCATATTGTCCCACTATCTGAATATGTTGGAGGCAGTTGTGCATACCTGACTGCATGAATTTTCAGATTGTCGCTTCTCCCTATTTGATGTCTGTCAGTGGCCCATTGGCCCTTGGAAGGAGACTTCATAAGCCAGGGCTTAGATCATTGTACAGTGGACGGTCTGGTTGCGAACTTGATCCATGAGGGAGGCATGTTTGCAACCCGCAGCGCCACGTCTGTGCATGCGCAGGTTGCGATTCGGCGCTTTTGCGCATGCACAAAGCACGATTTAGCGGTTCTGTGCATGTGCGACCGCCGAAACCCAGAAATAACCCGTTCCAGTACTTCCGGGTTTCGGTGTGTCTGTAACCCGTAAAAACACAACCTGAAGCGTCTGTTACCTGAGATATGACTGTACTTGCTTTACCAGACAAGGACTGATTCCTAGAGATTTAACTATTAGCTTTCAAATATGTAGAGGAATTATTCACAGGAAATATGAGCTCCACCAATTTTCTCTTTAAGCACAAGACACCCTACCTGTAAATGTCTTCCCCAAAAGAACAATGTAGTTGCTGTCTTATTTCATATTCTAAAAAATGGCTTCAAATAGTTCTTCGCTCTTTGCTAAAAAAACAATAATAATTGTGGTGGCTATTCCCAATTCAAAATGGAAAAAAAAAACATATATTGTACTCCTTTTTTATAACCTAATCTTACAGGTGTTCCACAGCTTGTTATTCTGACTAAAGTGGATCAGATTTGTCCTATTGTTGAGGAAGATATATCATACGTATACAAAAGCATGGCTGTTCAGAAGCAGGTAAACTGTTAAATTAAAAGCTATCTTTAAAGCTAGTCAGGCTTTTCTTTAATATTTTAATCTTTCTGTTACTTTTTCTTTCCTTGTTGTGTTTTGCTTCTGCTCATACTTCTTGGGTTTTTTTATATCCTCTACTCTGGGCTACTGAGAATATACACTTGAAGGTGATGGCTGGCTGATCAATGTCCCTGGACTCAGCTACACAGATGCAAATAAAACATTTTAAAAGGGTTGTGAAGTGCAATATACCAATGTGACACTAGCTGGCGACAGTGAGCTGTATTTTTCAAAACATTTTTTTTTAAAGCATTTTCACAGCGTTTTTAAATATGTGTGTAGATTCCTTCCCTGTGTGAGAGGCAGGGAAGGGAAGAGGTCCCAGGCTGAGAGGCTGGGAAGGTCCATCCCTTTCTGTGTGAGACTAGGTTTAAGAGCTACCTTTGAGGGATGACACTGCATTTTTCTTTCTCTTTCTGTTTAGATTAGTTTGTTTTTTATTGCATTGTATTATGAAAAACTGTCATAACATCTTTGCACTCTAGATGTGCAAAGCAGGGCTGTTGAGGTTTGTTATTTGGAGAGCGTGTGGCCTGAGGAAAATCCTGAGGGTCAAAGAGAGGCTCACCCTGGTCTAGGGCATTAAAGGTCATAGGGCATTAAACCAACACTTTTAAGTTGCTGGATCTGCTTTCAAAAGGAAGGATACAATTAGAAATTGTTTCTCCTAGAGGGAGCTTGTGAAACTGTTGCTGGAGTCGATCTGGGGAATTCTACAGCTGTAGAGATTAAAGATCGTGAGAACCAGACATTGACCTTGAACAAGAATGTGCGCAGAAGAAACCTTAGTGATTGCTTTTCGCAAAACAAGCGCTTTACTGGAACAGCTACATGAGAAGATGGATTTGATGACTGTTGCAGTTAATAATTTTGGACAAACAGTGAATACCTATATAGAAACCACTCAGGAACCGACCCAGGAATCTGCTTTGACAGGGCAAGTTGTGCAGAAGACAAAGGAGGAGGTTGCTGTTGAATCTCAAGAAATACAAGTGGAGAGAGTCGCGGCCTTGCAGGAACATAAGCTGTTGTTTTTGATGACTGAATCTGGAGAAAGTCAGATTTGGAGAGATGGAGTCTCGTCTGGTTTGGAGATGGGAAGTTGGATAGATCCCCCTATGCAGGGATGTTTTGGCTTCTGGGATCTGGTTTTGGGCCAGGGGGAGTCTGGAGTTGTGGGGGCCTTTAACTTTGGAGGGGCTTTGAAACATGCCTCCAATTACCTTTTGGATCTTAGTGCTGACTATGGAGAATGGGCTGACCTGTCGAGAAGGGATAAAGACATTGTTAGGTTGGAGTCTCCCCGAGACCTACTCCTCAGTGATAAAGGAAGGAAATTAAGAACAAGATCAGCAGAAGACAAAGTAAAGTGCAGGTATAAATATGAAGAAGATCTGCAGAAGGGACATGGAAGAGAGTTAAGAGCCTCGGACAGAAGGTCACCAGGTTGATGGACTATATGGAATGGATAGAAAGGACTGACAGAACCCGAGACCAGGAAGAAGAGACGGTGGAGGAAGATTGGAAGAAAGTTTAAAAATTCATTTAGAGAATTATTGTAAAATTAATGAGTGTTAGAAAAAATGTTGGAATGAAACTATTTGGCTTTAGTAGAAATGCTATAAGGAGTTATGTAAAAATAAGTTTTAAGTTTTAGGGCTTTTTATGGTAAGATAAGGTTAAAATAAATTAAGACAATTTAATGACAGAATATAGTGAAAGATGGAAAGGATTTGCTGTGATAATTAATAACTACAATACAAAAAAGGGAGGTGTGAGGAGGTCGATGAAACAAGTTAACGAAAGATAAAGATTTGGGAATATTGGATTTGTTTTTAATTTTTTGTTTGCTTTTGTTTTTGGTTTTGATGTATTGTGTGTTTTGTTCTCTTTTTTTCTTTTTATTGACTTGTATTGTTTGATTCCTTTTTTTTCTTTCTTTTTTCTTTTTCTTTTTTTCTCTCTGTAATTTTAAATTCTCAATCAATATCATTTAAAAAAACCAAAACCAACACTTTTAAGTTGGACCTGGAAATCGACTGGACCTTGTTTCTTGTAAGTGGCCCTGAAATTTTTTGGTTTGGGTTCAGTGTACGGATATGGGGCATAAAAATGTAATTAATACAGCCAGCAGTGGCCTTGTGTCAGCTGGTGGGACCAAAGGGGCATAAAAATAGTGTTCCCTTGGTAACAAATCACATTTTATTTCCTTTACAGATGCGGCTAATGGAAGCAAAACTTGGCATCCCTCTGTCTCATATAGTTCCTGTTAAAAATTATTCCTCAGAGCTGGAACTGAGGAATGATGTTGATATTCTGATACTCATGGCAGTGAGGCAGATGCTTCGTTTAGCTGAAGACTACTTTGATGACAAACCTTCAGTCAATCGTTCCACGAAGGATTGTTACGCTGAGCCTTGATATATAGGACTGAATTGCTGCCTTCATGTGCATTTACATCTGCTACTTAAAGTAACGTGTTTGGGTGCATGTTCCAGAGATGCCACCATAGTAAACATGCAAAGTTATAAAGACCTGCGCAACTTGGGACTTAGATATCTTTCCCCATATCAGCCAGCTCAAGTTCTCAGATTGGCCGAGTGGGCCACTGTAGGAATTGTTGCCAATGCATCAGAAGGCATGCATTTCCTCTATAACTGGGGTGAGGGGGTATTTCCTGAACAATAATTTACCCTGCCAAAATACCTGGTGTTAGTCAAATGTAAGACAATTTGATCCTAACTTACTTAGGAGGAAAACGTAGACTTGAAATCTGAACAAAAAATATTTCTGCAAACGTTATTTTTTTGTGTGTGATTTTTTTCCTGTTATAAAATGTTCATTACAATTAGAGGCGAAGTCTGTTATTAGTATTTGTCTTGCTTCAGGGTCTTGTTTTTAAATGCTGATCAAGTTTGCCCTCTAGTGGAGAACAATACAGACAACTTAAGAAAAATAAGGTGCTCTTCTGAATCATACTGAATTTAGTGGCTTGATGCTGAAATAATGAGACGGCCTTGTGGAAAAGAGGGGATTTCCTACAGCCCTTTGCTATGTGTAGTCTTCAGCTCCTGAGAGTTTAGCCTGTGCCCTGTGCCTTACTGCAGGAAGTGTTTTTATTCTTTATTCCTAGCGAGAACACCATTCCAGCTGTGACTTTGTGACTTGGTATGTGGGTGGCGCTGTGGTCTAAACCACTGAACCTCTTGGGCTTGCCGATCGGAAGATTGGTGGTTCGAATCTGCGCAACGAAGTGAGCTCCCATTGCTCTGCCCCAGCTCCTGCCAACCTAGAATTGTGAAAGCACACCAGTGCAAGGAGATAAATAGGTACCGCTGTGAAAGAAAGGTAAACGGGGTTTCTGTGCACTCTGGTTTCTGTCATGGTGTTCCCATTCCATTAGAAGTGGTATAGTCATGCTGGCCACATGACCCAGAAAGCTGTCTCTGGACAAACGCCAACTCCCTTGGCCTGAAAACAAGATGAGTGCCGCAACCCTATAGACTTAACCATCCAGGGATCTTCTTTGTCCACAAATGTCTCTCTACCATGAATGTCCAATTGTTAGGGCTTCAGTCCTGTTTTAAATGTACAAACAGGACATGAAAGCAAAAGCTTCTCCCCACTGCTACTCCCCAGGAATTGTTGTTCAGCAGCAATTGCACTGTCTCTAAACGTGGGTGCTTTATATAGCCACAAGTCCAACAGCTATAGATAGACTTGTGCACACTAAAAAGGGGGGTTCAGACAAAGTATTTTTTCTTACAGGTTCTGCCCCATAAACCCAACATTTGCTGTGGATAAAATGAGTAATGATTGCAGTAATGGATAGAAACATGATTCTGAACAACAAATGCTACCCCCCAGCAACAGCTCCTCCGGTTCTGATTTGTCCTTGAAAGAGATAGTCACAATAGCCTCTAGTACTATTTCTTCACAAGGGAGTTTGCCAGAAATCCTGCCTGGAACTTCTTACCTCTTTGGGAAATGAGATCCTTGAACAAAAAACAGTTTTTGAAATGTATAGAAAATTCTAAACCTGCTTGCTTTTAATGTGGGAATCACAAAAGCTTCGGATAGGTTTCAAGAAAATTGTGCCCTTAACCCTGCTAGCAATGGTAGTGATATATATTTCTAGTTATCCTATAACCAAAACAAGATGGGCCTAGAAAGTGCCTGCTTACTTACAGACATAATGGGAAATTGGTGCTTGCAAATCTTCAGCATTTATAATGCCATGCTTCTGAATTGAAAAGAGATGGGTGGGAATATGTGTTACATTCCCTCAAATGCTTTCAAACCTGGAAATCAACCAGCAAAACAGAACAGTGAGCCACTCTATAATAACCTAACAGAACCACTAGATGGCAGAAAGGGATCATAATTTAGCATTTTTTAAAACTGCGGAGAAATACTTTTGAGTTGTAGTGCCTAATTTCTGCCGTAGCCCCAGTCTTCTATTTTATGGAAGGGTGTTTGGGAAAAGAATGGAAAAATGCTTGCTTGCTCCGTAAGTCAGAGATTCTGAGACATCCTAGTCAATTTCTTAGTTTTCACATTTGCATTCTAGATCTACTGTATTAGCCCAAATATAAACTGCACCTGAATATAAGCCACACCTTTAAAATTCAAGGGGAAGAAAAGAAAAAAGACCCTACCCAAATATAAGCTGCTCCCTTAAAATGCCGCAGGCACTCACACCCGTTCCGTTTTACCGTATGTCTGCTTCAGCAGCGATATTGTAAAAGCCATGTTTTGTAAGGTTGTAAATTTAAGCCGCACTTTAACTTTTCACAATCAGAATTTGGAAAAAAAGTGAGGCTTATATTCAGGCCAATATGGTACCAAATGCCCTCTGGGCTAAAGCAGCTCTTCTGCTTTAGACAGCCCCTTAATAGGAGTTAACAGGCACATCCTTGGTTTTAAATGATATTTTTTTCTTCCGTCTTTTAGAAATGGGATGCAAACTCTCCAACAGAACTGTGCATGAGCTGTGCATATACTCATACACTATTTTATTAGGCTGAAATTCTAGTTCAGGATTTAATAATAAAAACCCACAAGGGGGGCGGGGTTATATAAAGAATCTACAGGTCTGCCTACAAATGTGTTTATTTTTGTACTCGTGAAGGAAAGTGCTGTGTTTCATCCATTATTCCCTCTTTCCTTCTTATGGCAAATTTGGAAGCACAACAGGGCGATCCAACACTAAAGTTCTACATGCTCAGGTGAGTTCCTAGTTTTGCAGGTGTATGTAAGTTTGTAAATTAAAAGTAAAAGCAATAAAAAAAAATAATATCCAAACCACACAGTGAACTTGCAGGAGCCACAGAATACTGAAGGTAAAGAGAGAGAAGAAAATACTTGAGTAAATAACTTCTTTGTCTGGGTAAACATTGGCCTGGTTAGCAAAACAAAGTACAGCAAGCTCGAGAGAGTCCCAGTTCAGAGTTTTGGCTCCGCTCAGCATGACATGGCAGTAAATTGTACCAGGGAGAAACGGATTGGCTGTGATCTCCATTCTAGGAGGCTGTACATTCATGCAGTCTTGATTAGCCATGGTTTAGCTCACTGCACTGTATGAACGAACCAGCTGAATACCAAAGATGGCAATTCCAGCCATTGATGCTACCTTTCCTTTGCTGCTTTTTTGTATGGTGGCACTGCTATAAGCCTGATTTCTTTGCCACTTTCTGTGGTAGCAAGCATTCCCATGCCTTTCCTCCACAATCCCGATTATTAACCGTGGGGAGGGGTAAGTACAAGTCCCCCCCTTTCTTTGATACATGGAAGAAAAAGAGACTCATTCTTTTCCCCGCCACCCGTTACTTTCATGTCAGGCAGTTATGGGGCAGAAGAAAAGAGAACGGGTGTCCTTTTTTATTTCAGGCATCAGGCATTTGTTCTTTCTCCAGCTTCTTCCTAGAATCTTTTGTGGTGATGGAGAGTGAAGAGGAAAGAATTGTTCCCTTTCCCTTTCTGCTATGGGAAATAAAAGAATCTTCCCTTTCTTGCTATCTTGCTAAGGTGGTGATCAAGGTGAGGGGGAAAAGAATATCACCCCTTTTCTTTCATATATCAGAAAGGGAAAAGGGGCATTTTCTTCTCCTGTGCTTATTCCCCTCCTATATTGTCTTCTGGAAAGTGGGAAGGGAGGAAGCAACCATGGGAGCTTGGGGCAGTGGCGAAGTGGTTTGTGGGGTCCCCCGCAAAGCATTTCTATACAAGATCATCCTTCATCCAGCCTACGCCTGCTCCTAAGACTAATGTGAGTAGGCTTTCTAGCCTAGGGCAAGAGTCCCATTGATGTATTTTCACAGAAACAACTATTATCAATATGGCCCAGCTGGAGTGCTGCAGTACTGATCCTGCTAACCATCACATCCAAAATAGCTCGTGAAAGGAAAAGAGATTGTCTGGTGGGGCCTACATTTGTTATTCAGCTTCCCCTTGCTATGAAATCAAATCAAAATAAAACCAACAATACAGTATGCACAATATGTACCTTACAGTAACACTACAAAATCAGCAATTTATATATATGTACTGTATGTACTGAAGACTGTGGAATATACATTTGAAGTCCCCCCACACCCAGTTTAGGCATAACTTTTTCAAACAGATCAAGAATAATTTCCAGTGACTTTTTAGTCTGAACACCTGCTATGTGTCTCAATGGAACCGATGCCTGTGTGTGGTATATTTGGGGAAAGGAGCACCTGTGTATTGACACTTCTAACATTAATATGGTTTTTAAGTTTTTGGGGAAGATGGATTTTCATCTGAGTTTATTCTTTTCTTCACCCAGTTCAAGGCACATTACTAGATTTCATTATGTTTGGATTTCACAGCCAGGAGCATCGGTGGGTATCTCTTCTGTCTTTTGATAGTTGCTCAGCCATCTCAGTATGGGGGCACTAATGAACGCGAATTGTCGTCCGCAGAATAGCCAATGCGCGCACACACAAAAATGAAAGAGGCTCTTTAAAAATGGAAATAATATGAAACTTGACTAACCTCTGTCCTGAATGGAACAGAAGAAATAAAAGCCGGTCCCTCCACCTTTCACAAAAGCACCCCCCCCATCCTTCACTCCCAGAGTTTTTGAAGCGGCTTTTGGAACAGAACTTTGCTTGACTATGAATGAATGGCTGCCACTCTCTGTGCTACCCAAGGTAAAACCAAACAGCTGCTGCATCACTTCCCTTTCTTCCCAGCATGCTCGCTTCACCTCTCTTTCGGAGCCAGTTGGCGGCTGCTGAGATCTCCAGGTTGCATTCATTCCTAGCGTACCAGCCCGGCCTTTGAATGAACCATCTCACTGGATAGCGTTTCCCATTCGAGGTGGCAGGAGGGGAAGCAAAGAGTCAAACTCATGGCAGTCAAAGCCACAAGAAGGAGACGAGACAAGGATGCTGTTTTCACTGCTGCATTTCAGCGGCATTTGTACTGTGATGTCAAGGGCGGGGTGCATGTCACACTTCCTATTTAAATGACTACGGGACATATAAATTGAGTCTTGTCTTCCTTCCAATCTGGTAGGATTCTGCTCGAGGCAATTTTAGAGCGGATGTAAAACAGAACAAAAATTCCACTTCAGGAGGATGGTGGGAGAGATTTTGGGGAGACGAGAAGATTCAAAGCTGCTTTCAAAGGCTTGCTCTGAATATACTCCAGTAGGCTAGGTGAATATTATAGTTAACAGTTTCCTATTAAGTTGGAAAAAAGCAGTTCATTTTTAAAGCATTTGCTATAGCTAGGGTTTTTTTGGGTTTTTTTTTCACCTTACAGTAACCGCATATGGCCTGAGAACTACATACAGAGCATGCCTGAAGGGCAATTGTATACTA